AAAATCTATTTTTATCACACAGCTTTTAATTAGTTCCTGAAAAAAAGATTTAAGAAAAATAATAGGGCGTGAACAGTGGAAGCACCAGGATCAGAAAGTAGCTAGTGTCCCTGAATAGTTAGCCAATACTCAGAGCCTTGCAGGGTTTTTTCCATTAGGAAGAAATATTGATTATGAGTCAGTCTTTGGTGCAATCCTGTTTATTTACACAGAACACACAGTTCCCTGAACACAGTAGGAACAAACAGCTGGTAGTGTTCTTGCTCACAGTTTCCAAGCCTGATTTTCTAGCCTATCCTGTGTCCCTTGGAGCATGGACCAGGGGTGCCATGTTCACCACAGCTTACGTGGCTTTTTGCTGCCTTTCTTTTGCTTTTTTTATTGCTTTCCTCTCTCTGCAACCAATCACAGACCCAGCTGCTGTGTTTGCAGTCTGCCACCAGGAAAAACTGTCAGCCAGCAGGATTTAGTATCTGGTCAGCCTTGGATAGTGGAATCCATTGTCTCCAACTATCTAGTCCAGTGTTTCTCAAAGTGTTTCCGCGGTTCCCCGAGGCTGGAAAAAGCAAACAGGAGCCAATGGGAGCTGCAAGACTCCATGGTTATGTACCCTTTAGGTAAACAAAACAGCACAGGTGCTAGAGGCTTTCCCAAAGTGGGCAAGTGGATCATTTTGAGAAACACTGACCTAGTCTATTAAGGGAACTTAACTGCTTTTTCCATTGAGCTTGAATGAAGAGTGGGTAATATGCTCATCAGTTTTAATCAAATCTGGGGCAGCCAAGTGATCACAAACATGGCCAATGTCAACCATCCACATCTTCCAGCCTAGCAATATTTTAAGTCTATTCTGGCATCCATTTGGCCTGAATCCGTTCAATTTCTGCGCACGCTTCAGTGGATACAGTTGACTCTCTTGGACTGCAAAAGTGCACAACTGTTACTTGCTTTGTTCCCTTTTCTGGTGAAAACAAAGGGAATGCCTGTGACCTTTTTTCAATTCATTCACATTCAGATGCTTGTCAGTGCATGGGCAATATGTCAGAGATTAATTGGTCTGAAACCAGTTCACTGTTATGTAGAAAGTACATGAGAGTACAGAGAAAATGGAACCAGAAGAAGAAGAAGTGGGATCCATGTAAGGGAGTTTAGCACACACAACAACTCCAAGAAGATCAGGCAGTTGAAGGTGAGGCAAGCTCAGTGAGAGATTTCGGTTTCAGGCCAATGTCGAATATTACTAGGCCAGTCATGTATTTCCGTGTCCCCAGTGAGACTGGCAGTGTGAAATCAAATAAAGGAATGCTAGCCAAAAAGAACACTAGCCAAGATAATTCTGAGGTGACAACTCTTTAAAAGTCTTCCGAATACTTATGTGAAGAAGTGGAGCACCATCAAACACTTTAAAAGGTCAAGTTTACCCCTGAATGGTAATTTTCTTTTTTGCTTTGGTACCACAGACATAACACTGACATCGGGTTCTGTGAAGAGAATCCACAGCCTGGATTAACAATGGGAGTTCTGTTCTGTGTGGAATTGCAAGAATGAAGATTTTTCTTCCCTTCATTCCTTCTGTTCTTCTCCTCCCCCCTCGAAATCACCTCCTAGATTCTGTAATACACAAACAATTTAGCAACAGTCAGTTCTGTGGCCAAGGAATCTCAAACCACTCAGCCAATCCTTTTTTTAAACATATAAAAGCTTTCCCTCCTCACCACTACCTCCAAATAATCATTTTCAGCATGCTAGGTCTTGCATGTCACTTAGCAAAGAAATACTAATACCAAACATGGTTTCTTGGTAGCTGTGGTGGTGGTTTGTTTTGTTTTGTTTTGTTTTGTTTTGTTTTGTTTTGTATTGTATTGTTGAGGGTAAGGAGAGGGGGTTGTATTGATGCTTGCCAGCAGTTTGCTGATTTTGGACTCATAATTTACTTTTTGTCCAGGTTTAGCCAACACTTCCCATAATATTTATTATATTTAACAATGAACCAAACTAAATAGAAGTCATCTATGCATGTCACATTGTATAAATTAATCTGGCCAGTTAAGCTTGATAAAGTTGTCATCTTGTGTCCTTTCAAATCATAAAATAATTTCAAATCTAGTCATTTGTTTACAGGATGCCTTTCCTAGCTCCTAGGAATGACATACAATGCAATGGCTCCTGGAACATGCTTGTAGTTTTGAAGACCCCAGAAAGCATGGAGAAAGGCGTCTCTACAAATTTGGTTTGTTCCAGTTTTCATGGGCTGCAAGGCACGGCCACAGTTCAGGATGGGTTTCCTAGCAGTTACAAGCTGGTTCTGATTGTTTTAGAAACAAAATTAAATTTGCAGTTCCCCCAGTAACACTTTGTGATTTATTCGGGGACAAATCTGGATTGAAACACGTCCAAGTTTCTCTTTTGTGAGGCAGAAGGGAAGTATAAGTAGATACTATAGTCACCCATATGAGTAAGCCAGGAATTCATGAAGTGATTCATAAATCATTATAAAGACCACTAAAGTCTACTAAAAAGGATCCCTGTCTGGCTATACAAAGTGCTGTATTATCGTTGGGAGGTTTTTTTTAAAGATGTTAAATCAAATGTGAAATCTTTAAAACCGTGCTTTTCATTTTAAGCCCTGAAAAGGATTTTTTCTCCTCTTGTTGGCTGGCAGTTAAAGCCATTTTTCATTGATTAGTTTCTGCAACTGAAGTTTGAAAACACAGAGGATGATAACCCACGATTCTTTAAATAATAATTTAAAAAAAGATCAGTCTGTGCATTGTAGTTGATCTCTGACAGCAAACTAACCTATGTCTATGTGAGTGTGCTATCCAGAAAACTAACCCCAGTCTTTCCTCTTTTTTGGGAAACCTGTAATCCTCCAGTGGTAGCTCTCTTTTTAAAACCCTCTTATATCTTCTCTTATAAATACTTATTGTATATTCCCTCCTTTGCTAGCCTCAATTCTTACTTCAAACGTGCATACCTCATCACAACATTCCTTCACACATATAGTGTAGAAGTTACCTGCCGCAGCAAAAATATGTGACATTTTCCAGACTGAGTTACTTCGTGAGGACATCATGATTTATTCCATTACTGGTCATATTTCTAGAGTTTCTCCTGGACAGGCCCATCTTTTTAGTAATAACTTAGAGTCTGTATGTAAACATCAAAGCAATACAGAGAGAGACAAACTAAACTGTAGCTAATAAGAAATAAAAGGGCTACTCAGTGAAAGCAAATAGAACAAGCAGTAAAATATACAAAGTCCACTATGAAATTTGCCATACTATTAACAGGAGCTATGGATCAGCCAAAAATTAGTAAATGGGTTCCAAATAATGTTCAAGTCATGCAGATATTTGACAGAAATCATAGAATCATAGAATACTAGAACTGGAAGGGACCTCGAGAGGTCATCGAGTCCAGTCCCCTGCCCTCACAGCAGGACCACGCACTGTCTAGATCTCTTCTATGTTCAATCATAAGAACTCAGGTGTCTTGGATTTAAATATGCTTGTCTATGGATGAATTTATGCAGGAGTACTCTGTGGCTTGACAAACAATGTAATCTACTCGCCCGTGGCAAGTAGATTACACCCCGGAAGAGCTGGCACAGAGCGATCTGCGCATGCGCAGAGCGCAGAACCGCGTGGCTGGCGAGCGGGGCTCACCGCTGCTCGGTGAGCCCTGACTATAATTATAGATCCTACTGTGTCATTTGCATGAATACAGCCTTCTTCCTTTGTTGCCTAAAAGGTACTATTTGTTGCCAGGTAGGCGACATAGATAGACTAAGGTCATGTGAGTCAAGAAAACCAAACCTTATAACTTCTCCACATGTCAGCTTCCCATCATCAATGGGAATGTTACTTACCTATTTTGTAAAGAGCTTTGAGATGTACAGCTCAAAGAGGGTATTATTATTTCTAATGTGGCTTAAACTTTTCCATGAAGCCCATAAATGCACGCAGGTAAATAAGCCATCCCCTTATAGTATCAGAAGTAATAATATGTGCTATGCTCTATCTTCTGAAGAGTTGCACTCATGTTCTCAACTGAACCCAAACTTTAGCTCAGTAAATGTCCAAGATTTGAGAGTTCATAATCTTGATCGAGCCTCATCTCAACTTGAAATCATTTAACACTGCAAGGTCTTAATGAAAACTGATGGTATCTGTTTTAGATTGGCTTAAGATCACTTCTTTCCAGATACTTCATATTCAAGTAGAAACATCTCCAAGAACTGTTAGAACTCAGAAACAATTCTAAACAGAAGGACTATACTGCCTCTGCCCAACATTACTTTTTTTACACTAGGGGTGGGGAACCTAAGGCCTAGGGGATGGGCCTTGCCTGGATCCCTCCCCCGAGGCTTGAAGCTCCCCTTTCCCCCAACATTGGGGAGCCCGTGCCAGGAGCTCAAGCCCCCACGTAGCTGATACACATAAAATCTACTAGCCTGGGCCCCCTGATGAGAATGTGTGCAGTCCCCGAATGATTTTTCTGTGGGTAGGCACCACCCCCAACCCAAAAACGGTTCCCACTCCTGTTTCAGACAATGCCCCACCCAGGCCCTTTAGAAGCACTGAAATTGATTACAGCTCTTCTAAAAAAAAGGACTGCCGTTAATCAACTGATCATCCTACTGCCTTCCCACAGTACAGTTATGCAATTTAGCAGTGGTGCTTATGCTAGGTACCCCATCTAAGTAGCTATTATGATCCTATCACTGAACTATCTGAGCCTGTCCCCTGGAAGTGAAGAGGAGTTTGCCTGATAGAAGCTTTAGACAGAGTTTTTGTTGTTATTTATCAGCTGTAGCTGATCCATCTAATTGGAAAAACTGGAATATGCCTCTTATAAATGCTTAGGACTGACTCTGTTCTTTTAGAAATCTGTATCGGTGCCCATTGCTAAAACACTTTGGTGATTTAAGTAATTAAAAATATTATTTTGTTCTTATTTTGGGGGGGTTCATACTTGAATCTGCTCCTGATTTTCAGATTTGCAGTTCCTGCTCCATCTCCCCATCATATCAGCCCCAGGAGAATTCCAGTTCCCCCTCCAATGATGCAGAGACGAATACCACAGACTCCTCATCTTCAGCAGACTGTGGGAACGCATCAGAAGACATACCAACCAATAACAAACCCTTCTTTTCAACCAAATGGCATCCACATCCAAGGTGAGAAAGTCATCTTGAGCTTAGAAGCTGTTTTCCTGTCTCTGTTTACTCATAAAACTTCCAGAAGGAGGGGAAAGAAAGATCTTAAGAACTAGTCCTGGTGTTTTCAAATGTAAGTGTTGAAGCACCTAGTTTTCTTGGAAAATCAATGGAAAGTGGATACTTAACTGCCTTAAGCTCCTTTAAGATATTCAGCCTAGATTTTCAGCATTCATCCTAAGTGAGGGGGTATGAGTTTCTGTTTGAAATTATTTTCAGAGCTGTAAATGAAGGGTGGCTGAAAATAATTGTGTTGTTCGTGCCCGGTTTTATACCCCCGATTGTCTCCCGACTGCACACCCAAACTGTCATCAGGTTTTCAAGAAAAGAGACATTTTTTCTCTTTTGCAGTTGTGGAGTGATGAAGGCAGCCTTGCTCATTAACATACATGTCCTTTCAAGTTTGTGTTCTCATTTGCACTATGTAAACAGCTTCTAACAGCTTCTTTCTCCCTGTGTGTTCAAACATAAATCTTTGTAGCCAAGAAGAAAATTAATAGCGGCTGAAAATAATTTTTTTTTCTGATGTGAGTCAGAATGGTAATTTTCTTAACATGTTGAAAATATGTTAACTTGGACAGCTCTATTTTCTCTAACAGTTAAACGTGCAATTTCTCATTTTTCTTGTACAAATTAGGAGTATGTTTTTTTTTTAAAAATGTCACCCTAAATGTTCTGTGGTCTGTCATTGGTAGAGCTGATCAAATGACATGGAAAAGTATTTGCAAACATTTATTCAGAACATGCATCTGATTCACCCAGATTCATGCCCTTTGTCATTCATGAGCATTCATGCAAATGGGTTTTCCTTCACCTGACTGTTAGCAAAATGGCATGCATATGCACCTGAACAAAGACTTTTGTTTGAACAAGAGTATTTGCAATCTCCAGACCATTATTCTCCAAAAGCAGAGCCTTTTCGCTTGCCAAGAAGGTGGTCAGACTCTGGATTTGACAAATATACTCTGGAATCTCTTTCACAGATTTCTCTTAGCTAAAAATACTCTGTCTCCAGGTGTGATACACTTCATCCTGGGCTTTGAAAGTTGCACAGTGGCAATTACTAAGCAGAGATGAAGTCACTGATGCAGTTGGGCCCTGGACAGCTGGTCTTTTTGAAGATCAGAAGAGAACTAAAGTTTTAAACTAACAATAATGAAATATGGAAACTAGTGCTTATTCTATTTTTCTCCCACGAATGGCACCTGATTCTTGGTGATGACCCAGACAAGATGCCAAGGTTTTTTACTGATTTGATGGATGGATGCCTTCAATGACAAGGAAGGCCAACATCCAGTTTAGTTCTTTGAAACACTTATGCTTTGTGACCAACATCACCATGATCTTATATAGGTTCACTGTGACTCAACCTTCTTTTCACTCATGAGGCAATCTCTTATAGCATAGTGACATAATTGTAAGGGTGCTGGTTGCATCTGTGGAATATGAGAACACAGGAGGATGTAAGCAGCTTATTGCTGGGTGTTCTTTATTGGCTAATAACCTTGTCCACTTATGGCTGACCAGGAACAAAACAGGGATTTAAGTAACTATTCAACTATCTGATAAGCATATGCTTATTGGATAGTGATTCGACTACTCACTTCCCCCCCCCCCCCCCCCCCACACACACACACATACACACTTGCTACCTCTATCAAAGAGAGGCAGCAAGTGGGGGGAGCAGTAGCCAGTGCAGTGGGGAACTGGTAAAGCCTGTACCCCCAGCACCATCTCCACAGGGGGCAGGGGAGGCAGAGGCACAGCGGGGAATGGCGCAAGCAGGCACTGCTTCAGTCACTGCTCGCATCAGTTCCCGCTGCTGGTGCTTCTGCTTTTGAAATGCACAAGAGTCCTGTGGGGCTCGTGTACATTTCAAAAGCAGAAGTACTTTAGGGAGCAAGAGGTGAGCAGGGACTCAAGAAGTCCCCACTCGCCCCGTGCTCTCTGCAGCACCCACCCCCCATCCCGCTTGCTGCCTCTGTGAGAAGCAGCAAGGGGGGACAGGAGCCAGTGCTGGGGGCATCCAGCTTAAAAGCCAGATCGCCCCAGCACTGTCTCTTGAGTGCCATCTCCCCTCCCCCACAGCCTCTATCAGAGGTTCCTGGTGGGGAGCTGGTCCCACCACGGCCTAGGGCTGTTGGCACCAAGCAACCCCTGTTCGTGGTGGCCAGGGCTGGCTGCCAGCAAGGCCTGCTCAGGCAGAAGCCCCTGTGTACTGCCAGTCCCGGCCACTGTGAACGGGAGCTGCTCTGGCACCAGCCCCTGTTTGCGGCAGACAGGGCTGCCCTCCACAAACAGGGGCCAAGCCAGGGCTGAACAATCCTGGCTCATGCTGATCACTGCACCTCGGCATTTTAAATGTAGTAAGAGCCGTGGGGCTCTTTAAAATGCCAAGCCACAGCGTGGGTGGCTCCAGAGCCAGCACGAGCCAGGACCGCTCAGTCCTGGCTCGAGTCAGCTCCTCTGGAGCGACCCCCGGTGTGACTCTCCAGAGGTGCTTATTCACTAATCATATAGAAATTGTATCAACTATACGATTAGTCAGATAATCGCATTTTAACGTCCTTAGTACAAAATGGAGCATTAGGGAAAATGGACTAGTTGTTGCACTTGATATCTAGGTATGCTAGTGCACTGTCAAATTCATAGAGCTTAAGTTTAGAAAGAATAAATAGATTATCTAAACTGACCTCCTGTATTTGACAAGCCATTATTTTTCACCCAGTTGTCCTTATATGGGACCCAATAACTTGTATCTGACTAAAGTATGACTTGCATTTGGCTAAAGCATATCTTCTAGAGAGACACACAGTCTTGATTTGAAGATGTTAAGAGAGGGAGAGTCCAGAACTTCTTTTGGAAGAAGAAGAACTCTCCATGAACTTGGCATGTACAAATGGTTTTACTCCATTTCTCTAACTCCTCCAACCCCCAAAACTCTGGGAGCTTCCAGGGGCTAACAAGTCTGATATCACAGTCACTTATATTAGTGGATAACAGCCTCTGAGAGGCCTTGCCTCTGGCAAATTCCCAACCCATCTTGGAATACCCTTTATTGAATGAGGGGGTGGTGTTGAATTGCTGTAGCCAGCCTAAAATCAGCTTAGCAGTCTCGTGTGGTAAAGAAATCCTCAGCTGCTGCCTTAGACCATTAAATCTTCATCACACCTTTCCAGCAGCACACAGAGAACTCAGGAGAGACCAAAGACCAAGGCCCTTACATGCATTGTTTATTAGAGATGGGCCTCAGCCAAAATCCCAGATCTAAAACACCCAGTGTATGGCAGAACTTGGGGGTTGTGGGTTTGAATCCAACTCAGGATCTGAACTGTGCAGCCTTCTTCCTTCCTTCCTTTTCTCTCTCTCATGTGCTGGACCAAACCTTTTGTTCTAGACCAGGGCTACTCAACCGTGGAAGCCCTGGGGGCCATAATGATACTCACAGCATATGCCGAGGGCCGCAACTTAAGTGCGGTTGCTTATACATGCAAACAGCTTCTTTCACACTGATGGGCATGAATACAAAGATTAAGGCAAGACTACACAACATTGCAGGCCCCATTTAAGTCCGTTTTGCTGATGATAATAAAATGCAAGATTTACCCAATTTCCACCCATATGACAGCACTTTTAATAAGCAATAACACTCCAAGAATTTATCTACTAAAATGTATGTCAACAAAAGATCATTATATTGACGACTTTTTTTTTTTTTTTGGCTTCACAACAGTCCAGGAATTTAACTACCATAAAACATATATCAATACAAACTGCACTGTAAACCCAAGCCACACCACGGGCTGCAAACAAACAGGCTGCAGGCAGCCCACAGGCCATGTGTTGAGTAGCCCTGATCTATACCTTCCCAAGCTTTGGGGGTTAGGACATGTTTCCAGATCTTGTTCAGAGCCACCTCTGTTGTTTTCTTTATGCTTTTGGCCTTGCTCACTAGAGTGTGTATGCTGAACATTTTAATTTTTCAGTGGGTTTTATATAGGAATCAATAGCAACTAATATTTGAGATAGTCCTGAACCTTGCACTTAAAGCACGTATCAATGAGATGTGGGTGTGATTTCATCAGCTTTATATTCAAGAGCAACTGTAAGTTATAGTAACAATGTTACAAATTTAAAGTATGTTTTTATTTCACCTACTAAGTAACTTTTTGTCACTATACGGTCTGCCTTTTAGCATGGTGTCCTGGATGCTGGAACACAAAGTTATATCACACTCTTGGAACTATAATGAAAGCTTTGTCCTGTAAGTCTGATCTCCTGGACTAAACTCTCCCTTCAGCACTTAAAAAAAAAAAGTTTCAAGAGTACACAGCTAAGTTTCCCAGTAGCAACACAAGGAATTCAATCTTCCTAAGTCATGTCATTACAGTGTATTAGAAGAATACCGCGGAGCTACTTCATCAGCCTGGGTTGTTTGGTATATATCAGGTGGCTGCGGGAAACTCGGTTAGCCTCTGCCTTCTGCAGTTCATAAGTTGCCGTTCCATGATTTAGAGGGTGGTGGCTATAGCCACTAAACTTTCAGCTCAATCTGCTACCCAACAATGGTGACATTTTTCAGTTTTAATATGTAGTCTTAAACTTGTCAGCTCAGTTTAAATGGGCTGTACTATAGAAGAAAGGACTTCATTACCAACAAGCCTTTTGAGCAAAACAAGTTGTAAACAGTTTCCCTTGCTGAAAACATGCACATCTTACACGCTCATGGAAATCACGGTATACTAACATTTAAAAAATAAATGATGTGGCCAGTCAAAAATTGACTAATCTTATATACTTTGTCAACTTCCTGTGTGGTAGTACTGCTGTTTCTTGGAAGAACATTGGCAGTGGTTAAGAGCTCATGCTTGTTTCTGGGGATATCCAACATCAGATGTTGTAACGCCACAGAGTTTTTCTTTAAAGAACATTGTTCAGGGGAGTAAATATCCCCTTTCCTT